AAATCTGTAACAAAACCCCCCTCCTCATTTTTTTCTAATAACTTTTGGCAATTCTTTTTTTTTATCACTCAAATCAGTTTAGTAATAGTGCATGAAAATAAACACAAGCACACGAACTGACTATAGTTTAGCTGGTTAAGATACTTTATGATGGAACCTGCCTATCGTCTTTTAAAGTATAGAAATGTTTATACAAAATCAACCTTATACAAAATCCAATCAACCGTTGAACCAAAAGAAAATTCTACCTTTTAATGTTTGGAAAAAGTACAAATTACCCCCTGAACAATCGCGGTCGACTGAATTACCCCCTGAACCCGAAAACCAGACATTGCTCACCCAAAACTTTTAATGCCAGACGAATTATCCCCCTCAAAACTGTTTTGAGAGGTTTTGACTTGAGTTTGCACACGCGGTGATAATGTGGCAATCCAATCAGCAAAAAAAAAACTCCTTGGACCCACCGGTCATACCTCTCCCTCCCCGGTCGCTTTCTCTCTCCCTGGTAGCACTCTCTCGCTCGCGAACACGCTCGGGTAGGCGGCTGCGGAGGCGGAGGCAGACCAGGCTATCGGCGGCGGAGGCAGAGCTCGCCCGAGTGGCCGGTGGCAGAGGCGGATCGGGCGGTCGGCGACGGAGGCGAAGGCCGATCAGGCGCCTACAGAGTTCTCTCTCTGTGCTGTTGGCGTTTGAGGCGAGCAGCTGCAAGCATGGCCGGGCGAGCGGCGGCAGGTGCGACTAGGTGAATGCGGCCAACGGCAGGCACGAGCAGGAGGGGGAATCGGTCGGCGCTGAGCGACAACGGCTGGGTGGCACTAATCGGCGGCAGGAGCGGCAAGAAGGGGGCGCAGCTGGGAGTGCGCTCTAGGATGTGACGGGAGTGGCGGGGAGGAAGCTTCAGTCGACGGTGAGCGGCCCGCCTCGCTGGAGCCGTGTCATGCGCCAAATCCCGCCTCGCCAAAGCCGGAAGAGGGGCGACAGGCGGTGGAGACATGCACCATCGGGTCCCGCCTCCTCTTTCTCCTCTTCCCCTCTTTCACCCCCCCTCTCTCTCGGGCATCGTCGGCCACCAGCGCAGGTCGAGCGATGGCTAGGGGCAGTGGGCGACAGCGTGGGACGTGGAGACGGAGCGGTGAACTCCGGGAGGGAGCCGGAGTGGTGGGGCAGCGCCGTGTTGCCGCCCGTTGGCCTCCGCCTGCGTCGCCGGCCGCCCGGTCTGCCTCCGCCTCCATAGCCGCCTGCCCGAGCGCGTGCACGGGGGAGAGAGAGAATGTGTATGTGTGACGGGGAGAGAGAGTGTGACCGAGGAGGGAGAGGTATGACAGGTGGGTCCAGGGAGTGTTTTTCCTGACTGGATTGTCATGTTGGCGCCAAATGTACAAGCTCAAGTCAAAACCGCTCAAAACAGTGTTGATGGGGATAGTTCATCCTGTATTAAAAATGAGTGAAGTGCACCAGTGGTCCCTAAACTTGTGCGGGTGTGTCATCTAGGTCCTTAAACTCTCAAAATGCATTTTTGGGTCTTCGAACTTGTCTTCGGTATCATATAGGTCCAAACGGGCTCCGATCCACTCCATCCGCTGACGTGGCATCCACGGTTGCGCCTACGGGTCAGTGGGACCTACATGTCAGCTCTGTGCATCATCTCCACCGCCCTGGGAGCCGAGAGAGAGAGAGAGAGAGAGAGAGAGAGAGAGAGCAGGAAAGAGAGACGCCGGCGGTGCTCGACGCGTCACGCGTGGCCGGGACGTGGCAACGCTGAGCTCCTCCCTTTTCTTCCTCAGATGTGTCGCCTTCTCTTCTACATTCTTCTGGAGCCGAACTACTCGGACGAGAGAGAGCGCGCCCTATGCCTCTCCGTCGCCCACATTCTCGTCGTCGATCGCGAAGAAGATGACGCTCGCTGTTGCCGACGAGTCGTCTCCATCGCCAAATCTTTCCCGTTCCAAACTTCCCACATCATGCCGAGCAAATCTCCTTTTGACCCCATCTCGTTTTATCCACTGTAGCAACGGAAACGCGACCTTGCCCACGAGAGCTCTGGAACTCGCACCAGGCGCCGCCGCCATGACGTCGTCGTTGTTCCGGCCGACATGGTCCATCTCAAGCCAAGCCATCACGCCAAAGTCATCGCCTCACCATCATGACCAAAAGCCCTCAAGAAATTTTAAGAATCGTGCACAGACGAGGGAGATCGCCGTCATCTTCTCCAACTCCGGTCGCCGAGTGCCATCACCAATCCCTCTCTCCCCGGTGAGCCACGGACTAATTAATCGTGCATGCAACTCTTTAGGGACCTCACTAACCACCCATGCACCTTCTCTAAGCATTCCACCGCTCAAGCGAGCCGTCGTCGTGAAGCCGACGTTATCCACCACCGCCGGGCTGTCTTTTCCATTGCCGCTATTACCCAGACCTCGCCATGCCGCAATCAAGTTCCAGTGAGCACCTAGGGACCTGCTAGACTCGCATGCGTGCATCTTTTTGCACTAAATCGGGCTGGGACTCTACATGCACAGGCATACTGAAGACCACCGCCGCTCGCGACACCACTGGCATCGATTCCGGCCACCTCCGGCGACAAGACCACCTTCAACAGGATCGCAAGGAAGTCCTCAGCATTTCTTCTTGTGGTTGTGTCGGCCGAAGAATCGCCGTTCGCCAACGGCATCGTCGTGAAGGAACACCGGCCGGCGAACTCTGCGGCTGCTGCTGCTTTCTCCCTGTGCCTATGACAGGTGGGCTCCGCTCCATTAGCACGTACAGGATTTGATTAGAGTAAGTTTAAAACATGTAAGGTTCTTTTTGTAAATATTGTTATCATATTATATATTTATTTTTATAAATATGACTGACATGTGAGTCCCCACTGACACGTAGGCGCTACCGTGGCATGCCATGTCAGCGGATGGAGCGGGTCGGTGCCCGTTTGGACCTATATGACACCTAAGACAAGTTTAAGGACACAAAAATGTATTTTGAGAGTTTAGGGATCTAGATAACACATCCGCACAAGTTTAGGGACCGCTGATACACTTCACTCATTAAAAATTTAGGGTGAGTATTGTCTGGTTTTTAGGTTTATGGGGTAATTCGGTCGAGAGCGATAGTTCGGGGGGTGTAATTCGTACTTTTTTCCTTAATGCTTTACCATTTTTCACATGATATTTTCTGGACAAGAAAAGCATATTTTCCGTTCTCTGCAACAACTAATAATACACACAACTATATTAATCGACACTATATTTAAAACCTGACGAATGGTGTCATGCATGACCGAAAGTGGATGGCGCACGATGTGCTTCTCCTTATGTGTCTCCAAACTAAAACACGTTGACCCCAAGTAGTGAATTCGTTCCCCAAGAAGGTAACAACATGGAGTCACATTTTGTAAATCATAATGTTCCTCTGGTGATTTAGTTTTTGAACCAAATAGTTTTGATTGAAGTATGGCCGAATTTTGCGCTTTCAAGTTTCAAAACGGGACTTCACTTTCTACCTTCCCGTGGCCCACCTGAAAATTAGCATCCCCTGAATAGGAATAAGTCTACCCTGCCTCCCTCAGCTCATTCCCCAAATTGAAACGCTTCCTTCAACCGCAAAACCGGGTATAACCCGTCCTCCAACTCACAAAACCGTTGAAAATCGACTCCTCGGATGGTTTGAGAGACAGTTTTGTCCCATATGTTATCTTTGACCCTGTTGACTAGCTGAGTCATCAGGTGGGACTCACTTGTCAGTCGGCCGGCTGCTGGCACTGCGGAGCGACAGGGTGGCCTTCTCCTCCTCCTCGTCATTGTTCTCGCCCGACGCCGAGCTCCTCAGGATGCCGAACTCGAGCACCGCCAGGAAAGGAGGCGGCGTTGAGCTAGATCCCTCCTCTGTGAGTGCGCCGTGTTGAACGCCTCGGCGTTGAGCAACGATGGGGACGAAGGAGAGGAGGCGGCGGAGGGGCACGGGAGGGAAGCTATTGTGCCACCTTCATGCCGTGTGGGGCCGCGGCAAGGCTGACCGGGACGGTTTCCACGTCGCGCATGCTCTGAATGCACAAGTGGGGCGGCGGGGAGGGAGGAGAGGAGGCGGTGGCGAGGATGGTGGAGGCAAGGGCGGGGATGAGGTGGTGGCAGAGTGGCGCGAGGGGGAAGGCGGTGATGAGGCTAGAGTAGGCGAGGAAGGGGATAAGGAGGCGAAGGAGGGGCGCGAGAAGGGAGACGACGGCGGGGAGGGAGGAGAGGAGGCAAGGACGGGGATGAAGTGACAGAGGAGGGGTGTGGAAGGGGAGGCGAGCGGAGACGAGGGCGAGGAGGTGAGGATGGGGATGAGGCGACGGAGGAGGGTCGCGGGAGGGAAGGCAGCGGCGAGGCTTTCTCACCTCTACTCTCTCTCTGCTCTCGCCGTCCTTTTGCCGTCGAGCTCATGGAGCTCTCTCCATCTCGCTTGCCGCCGAGGATAAAGAGGGAGAAGAAAGGGTAATTGGCACGTGAGACCAAAATATATTTTTATTGTTTCACTCACTGACATGTGGGTCTCATTTTGGTTTGTTTTTATTTCTATTTTAGTGCCATGTAAGCGCCACGTCGATGTCACATGGGAAAAAAAACCAAGTCAAACCGCCACGTAAGTGCTAAGGATGAAACCGTCTCCAAAACACCGGGGGAGTCGATTTGCAAAGGTTTGGGAAGTTAGGCCTGGTTATGAGGTTGAGGGGGGTGCGATTCTCGACCGGGCGCATGAGTTTAGGAACGTAGAGTAGACTTATTCCCCCTGAATATACAACACAGGGCCCACCCCGCCAAATCCGGCCCAGCCGTCGAGGCCCACCTATCAGCCACCCAATACGAGCCCCCAAGCGGCCAAGCGTAGGACTCACACCCCTACCAGACGCTCTCATTGACAAACGGGCCCCACTCTCCCCTGGCTCCACATGCAAGTGACACACCAGGATAAACCTAAAACTATCCACATTTCTCCCCCACCCTTAAACCCCATTCCGCAATAAACCCCTAGACTACTAGAAGCTTCTCCTCTCTCCTCCACCCCGCGCCGCCCAAACCCTAGCCCTCGCCGCCATGGCCCTCGCGCTGCGACTCCGGCGAGCCCTCGCCGCCGCCTCCACCTCCGCCTCCCCCTTCCTCCGCCCGGCCGCGTCCGCCTCCCGGTCTGCCCCCCTCGCGGCGGCGCCGCTGCCGCCGCCGCACCAGGTCTCGCGGCCGTGGCTCCCCGCCGCCGGGTTCCGGTCGTCGGCGGCGGCGTCGGCGGCGGCGCGCGGGGATGACTACGGGAGGCGCGACGTGGACGAGAAGATATCCCCCGACGAGATCCTCTTCGAGGGCTGCGACTACAACCACTGGCTCATCACCATGGAGTTCCCCGACCCCAAGCCCACCCGCGAGGAGATGATCGAGACCTACCTCCAGACCCTCGCCAAGGTCGTCGGAAGGTATAGGCAAAATCTCACCCTCCCTCGTTTCGTTTCGCTCGCGCTCCAGAAATAGGAATTGTTGGGATCGGTGTCGTCTTGTGATTGTTGGGTTGGCCTGCGGATGGTGAAATGTGGCACTGAAACTGTAAAATTGCTTTTATTTTGATTTCTTCTGTGTAGGAGTGAACCGCGCGTTGATTAGTTTCTCGATGTTAGTGTATGCGTGACACTTGTATTGTTGCAGTTCTAGTTAGATTATACTAGTAGTTTATTTGGTCAATTGTTCCATTACTACAATAATCTGTATCATCGATTTAACTGCGATGGTTTGTTCCCTCCTGATTTATGATTTTATGAATAGATCTGTTTGGCACTAATCCAAAGTTACATTTTCGGTTTTCCTTTAGTGATCTGGATGTAAATTTTATTGCTGATGAAAAATTCTTTTGTGCTTGGGATCTATTTGTAGATATAGGCAATGTCAAATATGCCTTTTTCTACTGAATTATTCTGAACTTAATATTATATAGTAGCACTACTGTGCATAATTATTATTTTCGTGTGAAAAATTCTGTTGTGCTTGGGATCCATTTTCATTTGAATTCACAGTTGCATTCAAATGATCGATTTGAATGCTAATTCCTTTCTTTCTTGTATCGAAATGGAAGAATTAGTGTACTACTAGGCTGGTGTGCTGAAAAGATTCTCCAGTCTATAGTGTCAAAATGTTTGAAATTCACTCCTGCTTGCATTTTAGTTACTTGAATGGTGATATTTTTAATACATGAGTTACCCTGCTTTTTTTATACTGCTATAAAATTTCTGTTTTCTTATGAGTTGTGTTCTCAAATAAACTTTTCGGTTCAAGGCTGAACCTATCTGTTTTGTTTTTACAATAATTGTGTTGTCCATAAAACTTCTGTTCCAAAACATGTGAAATATTTGGAAAGAGTTCTCTACTTAGGCGGGTGGAATTTGTCTATTCCCTATATATCCTTTTTTGGATATTTCCAAATGCATAAAATCGTTGAAAATTTAGAAATGTATCTTACTCGCTGGAATTGTTATACGGATTCTCTATTTCTTATATATTTCATAGTCCTGTTCTTAACTAGTTATGCAATTGTTGGTTTTTGTAATGCTCCGTTTTACTACATTTTAGTTATTGTACTCATAAATAATCAAGCCATTGCTCTTATGGTTCTTAATCTTGGCTGACATAAGAACTAAAATTCAAGAAATTGGAACACATAATTTGTGTTTTTTTTCCTGAGCTCTTTATTCTCTGTAGTTATGAAGAGGCTAAGAAGAGGATGTACGCTTTTAGTACAACAACATATGTTGGTTTTCAAGCTGTAATGACTGAGGAGATGTCAGAAAAGTTCCGTGGTGAGTGGAATTGTAGTTACATTTATGTTTTGCTTGCTACAATTCAGGATCCTAGCTTAAAAGGTACTTTTCTGCTTTGTCATCTACATCAGGATTGCCTGGAGTTGTATTCATATTACCTGATTCATATCTTTATCCAGAGACAAAGGAGTATGGAGGTTTGTTTAATTCTTTGTTTTGTATTTCCCAATTCCTTATTTTGGTTCACTAACTTCATAGGCCCCCTAATCATATTTGTGCTTGTATATTGGTTTCATCAGGAGACAAATATGAAAATGGTGTGATCACCCCAAGACCACCTCCTGTTCATTATAGCAAACCTTCAAGGACTGACAGGAACCGTAACTATCGTGGAAATTACCAGAACGGTCCTCCACAGGGAAATTACCAGAACAGTCCTCCACCATATGGCTCACAGCAAGATGGAAGAGGCTATGCCCCACGGCAGAATTATGCAGATCGTCCAGGTTACAGTGGAACGTCTGGTGGCTACCAAAGTCAAACAACACAATACCAAGGGCATGCAAATCCAGCTGGACAAGGTCAAGGTTACTACAACTCACAAGAGCGCAGGAACTTCAACCAGGGGCAGGGAGGCGATTTCAGGCCTGGCGGCCCTTCAGCGCCTGGAACTTATGGTCAACCACCAGCACCTGGAAATTATGCGCAACCACATCCACCAACTTATCCTGGAAGCAACCAAGGAGCTCCTGGTGTAAATCCTGGTTATGGTGGAAACAACAGGCAGGGGCCTGGACCTGCATATGGAGGAGATAACTGGCAAGGGGGTTCTAATCAGTATCCTAGCCAAAGCGAAGGACAACAAGAGAGCTGGCGGGTAAGAAAGCATTTGGTATATGATTATTTACTGGTAAACTTATTATTTTGAAGAGACAATTTAGTTTACACCTATTGGTATTTGTGCATCATGAATCAATTGGCAAGCCACCGCCTAATAATTGATAGCAACCCATTACAGTCTTGCTTAATGAAGTTTTAGAAAGGGAAATTCATTTCAATAGAGCTTGTTTGGGTGTGTCATAATCTGTACACGCCCAACTGAGCCTGTAGGTGAAAAAAAATGTATACTAATCAACCCAGCGTGTACTTTGAAAGCTTTCAGGTGCTATTTCAACATTAAAAGATATACATAAAAATATATACAAAATTAATGACCCAAGTTGTGTCCAGTTTCTGTGCTAAAATTGGTATCACCAGCGCTTGTACATCAGTCATACAACTATGACACATGTTTTGTCTGAGGGTTCTTTTGCCTTTACGCAGTGCATTATTGACACTTCTTGTGGTGTGTTTGCAGGGAAGGCAATAAGGGCTTTAACATGTGTTCCAGTCACGGACGAGAGGGCATAATTATGCTGCTTGAAATGTAGAAACTCCCACCTGTACAATAAATGACTGCGCTGCTTTACTATTTCTTGCTGCTTGCATTCATGTTCTGAAGAATGAGCTAAGCCTAGTACCAACAGTCTAAATGGATGCAGACATTAATTTTGTTGTTCTTAGCCATATTGTCATTTACATCACAAGGGCTCTTCATTTTTAATGATTGGCATGCGTGTCTATCACTAATTGAATCGTGGCATCGGCCTACAGTTGCTAGTTCCCAGAAGTTGAATCTTATCACAGATGGAATGAACAATATATTGAAGGTTAGCTTTATATAACCTGTGAAGTTTCTCAATTTTTAATTTTGATGAACCCCTTCATTGTCGTTTAAATGATGAGATCATTCGCATAGTATTGCAAAAGGAGCATCATGCTCCATCAGGACCTTATGCTTCACTAGCTATACTGCACAAATGTTTACCATCTTCCGATGCATTTGAGATTCTGAACTCTTGACTAGTTGGATGCTATTGACATTCGCTCAAAGATTTCCCCTTTCTGGAGGCTATACAAATATGCTTGTATCAATCTTATTATTGGGCATCTCGATCGATCTTATCATTGGGCATCTCAATCCATTTAGATAGATTCAAGTTGCATTGAGCATGAGAAGATTTCAAAAGATTTGGAGAGCTAGGTCAACTATAAGGCTGTATGGAACAAAAGTCCAGCTTTCGGTTAATTGCGACTTGCAGATGCATTTCTGTAGAATATGTTCCCTTCGAACGGAACAATGTTGCCATAAAGAACATAAAAAGGGCAGCAGATTGTACATGCGAATCGGTTAACAGCTGCTGGTTTTGCTTACTAAATTGTGGTCTTAAAGGTAAAACCTATAATCATCCTGTGCTTATTCAATCAGCCAATTAGTGGCTGTGGTTGGCTCAACTTTACCCCCAGATTATAATCCACCTTGGTAAACACTGAACTGGTTTGACTGAAGGTACATATTTGCAATGCAATATTGAACTTGAAAGAAATATCTTTTGTGTTGACAGTCAACTTGAGCATTAGCTATATTTAGGCCAAGTCTAGGTACGGACAAAGCCTTCTTGCAAACACCAATGTTCAAACAATGGTCTGACCGAGAGGATCCCATTACTGTCTAACCACAGGTCATTAAACGATCTGACCGGAAGACTCTACTCCGACTGCAATTTGGATCAACTTACGTCTCCTTGCTTAGAGGTTTCTCGAGTCTTAACACACCCTTAAATCTAACTGAACATGAAGAATAACTTATAAACGAAAGATCACTACTATAAATGTAAAGGGCGAAGACGAATTGAAACAACCAACAATCAATCGACTATCTTTTTTCTTGTCCATATCTATTTGCCTTTAATTTTCTAATTGCTCGCTGTCTCTCATCCTAACATTAGACGACGTCTCAAGTGGTCTACTAAGTCTAGTACAAACAGAAGCGTGTACGCTTTCTATCAACAATTTGATATGTACTACCTCCGTTTCACAATGTAAGACTTTTTAGCATTACCCACATTCATATAAATGGTAATGAATCTAGACACATATACAAAAACATATACATTGATCAATGTATGAATCTATGTTAGACAAAAAGTCTTACAATATGGAACGGAGGGAATATTTGTTTACACCCAAATTTGATACCTATAAATGAAATATGGGAAAATTGCGAAAGTTTGGAAAGCACCGGGTTTCCTTCATAGGGCCTGTCAGAGCGCAGGTATGTGGCCAGTCTAATCGGCTAGTAGGGTCGGTCTACAGGGCCTGTCAGACCGCAGGTATGTGGCCAGTCTAATCGGCTAGTAGGGTCGGTCTGACCGCAAACATGTGGATGGTCAGACCGTCAGAGTCCGGGTCTGAAGCGAATTTCGTCGGGTTTTGGGTTTTCTTGCTCGGAAAGTTATGTTTCAGGTTTCCATTTGTTTCTACTCCGAGTTGGACGTGGAGGAGAACATGTAGGAGGCAAGACTAACCCCTACATAACAGACAAGGTTGGTTCAATTGAGAACAACAATCTACTTTCAACACAATTAGCCAATTGAATCACATTTTCAATATTGCATCTACTTTTCGCATAATTCTAGCCTAGTTTCGTCCATCTTTATCGGTTTGCGCTGTAAACCATCCGCTATAGCTGCCGTAAACCGTCCGTTATCGCTACGAGAGTGTGATATCCCTTTCTAGGTTTGTCCCGTAAACCTTCCGTTCGCCCACGTGATGGGTAGTTTGCAAAACCCATCTTGATTTGGCCGTTTGGCTAGATCAGGGTGGTTGACGACTTTATATCACCGCAAAGCGTTTAAGTGTCCCGGTCGTTACTGTCTTCTTGGCAAAAAAAGTTGCCAACAGTATAGTATTGTTGAACTTGAAACTTGTAGTATCATTCACGAGACCTAGAGAGACACGAAAGAGCATATAAATTCGAGAACTAAAACATGTCAACAATGTATATCAAGTGATTTCTCATGTATATCAAATCTGAGAGCTAAAGTCGTCGTATTCTTGCTTTTTTATTCTTCAAAATGCTTTCTCATGCCTTTTCTGAAATTCTTTCTCATCCCCACCACCACCACTATTGATCTGCAATCAGGTGCAGATCATGCATCATGCAAGTTATTCCTATTCCAACAGAATAACGGCAGGGTGATGATACCCTCTAACTGAAATGTGACAGACCATCCGCTGTGCTGACTCCTCTCCCTGTCCACATTATAAATAGCAGGTGCAAGCTTGCAGTGATGACACACAATTCACACACCAGAGAGAGAGAGAGAGAGAGAGAGAGAGAGAGAGATCTGAAGAATTGATAAGAGTAAAGAGTGAAAAAGAAGAGGGGAGCCTTACATGGAGATGGAGAGGCTACTCCCTTTGGTAGCCAAGAATGACTTGCCTATGTGTTTTGCCTTGTGTTGGCTCATCCATCCATCTATCAGCCGTTGCAGATTTGCAGTGGCAGATTAAAGGGTTTCAGAAAGAAATTCTTGTGATGGATGTGCAATGTGGCTGCATGGGCCGGTCTTCTTGGCTAGCCAGAGTGGCTCTCATCCACCATGCCAGGCCACTCCTCTTCTGAATTTTCAGCCTTTTTGCTCTCTCTCTCTCTCTCTCAATGCAAAGGGAATTTGGTAATGTTCATCCTGATCTCTCACGATCTTACTTTTCCTCTCTGTTCAATTCTTGCCTATGTTGGTATAGGATGTTACTGTTTTGGTTGGTGCAAATCTTGATTCAGAATCATTCTGCTGCACTAATTAGAAAGCCAAGGAATTGTTCTCATTTCAGAGATCGATCAGGGTAAAGAGCATATGCAGGAGCAAACTACTATCAACTGAAATCTCTGAACTTGCTCTTCCCTTTTCCTCCCATTACAATTTCCCGTACGCAATTGGACCAAACTAAGAATCAATGCCATTAATCTATAGCTAAGGCTGATTCTGTAAATTAAAGCAGATGAAATTCTCCAATTAATCCCATTTTAGATTTTACCGTATGTTACTGCTGATGCATGCTGTCTGTAGGAGAAGAAGCATTAGTACGGACACGACGAGTTGGCGACGGCGTGTGTGTTGAGGCTGCGGCACGTGGATGTGTAGCTGCACGCGGCCGCGCTCTGGCGTACGTACGTGCCGCATGCATTCGCCGGCCGCTTGCACGTTGCACGGCCGATCTCACAGATCATGTAAGAGTTAATAGTACAGCCAAATACCAGCTCTAAATAATTTATAGTTAATTTAATAGCCAACCACCTGACATACATATTGCGTCTTAGAGTCCGTGCTATAGCTGGCTACAGATCTGTAGTCCACTGCTTTTCTCTTTTATTTTTTCTCTTTAAAATATGTTTATAGCTGGCTAATACTCCCTCCATTCCAAAATATAAGGCACAACCACCCTTAATCCAAATATCAAGAAATAATTATTATCATCTTGTAGTTTGTATCATCCTAATAAATACTAATACATGCATCCAATAGAATTAGATAACATGAGAGTGGATGATTTAAAAAAGTAATAATTTAATGAAGAAGATGTCATAGTTAATTGCATGCTTGCATGTATGTCTTATATTATGGAACATTTTAAAAAAGTGGTTGTGCCTTATATTATGGAATGGAGGGAGTAATACCTGCTCTAATTAATGATTCTTCTTTTTTATCCTGACAAGTGGGGCTGCCGGGCTGGTATTCATATGTGTCATCTTTAAAGTAAGTGATTAACGTTTACGTGATGGTTAATTAATTAATTAATTAGACTGCGGTCGAGATTGGAGTTTGAACGATGTATATATGTCTGATGGGATAGATACAGGAGTATATTATATATGTCTGATGATATATATATATATATATATATATATATATATATATATATATATATATATATATATATTATATACTCCATCCGTCTCAAAATTTAAGGAAATTTGGACTTCGACCCAGTTTTCGAGATGCTATTTTAATCAACGATATATATATACAAGTAAAACAATATCTATTAAAGTAAGATGTTTTAAATAAATATAGTTGCATATTATAATAGTCTGTTTAATGATAAATTTAGTAACATCAATTTTATATTATTGATCTTATTTATTTTTTTTATTAATAGTTAAAGTTAAAAATGTTTGACTTGACACTATGTTAAAAATGCTTATATTTTGGAAATGGGAGAGTATATATGTTTTTAGGAAAAAGTTTACTCTTTTACGAATGAATAAAGAATCGTTGTGGTGAAACCTTTTCTTTCGAATTGAAGTCATATGTGTCGTTGTGGTGAAACCTTTCCTTTCAAATTGAAGTCATATGTGCTTTTAGTGACGATTAATTTTTTAAGCAGTAAACGATGTACTCATTGATAACGAGCAGTTCTCTTGTATTGTAGTGGCTTCATCAGTCTCGAGATATATCTGCTCAGTCTTAGAGGTGTTTGTAAATGTAGGGTATTCGTGTATACGTTTATAGGGATAATTGTACACAGGTATATATGAGTGTCTATATTTATCCCTTAATTTTAGTCTATCTACTTTAGCATTAGGAGAAAGTTTTGCACCACCCACCCGATCGATAACCAAATATTAGACACCATACTTCTACCCGCTACTGACTTTTTTTTTTCGATATGCACATGTACTTTGCTGGCTCTATCTTTCCCTCTCGGTAGTAGTGATGATCCTTTTTTCTCTTTATTTTCATAGTATGATGAGACTGTATATTGCGTGTAACATGGAGAAGCCTCTATTATCAACCCTTAAATGATTTTTTCTTTTAAAATATTTAACCTATTACATAGTTGTA